GGAGACATCATTAATATAAATAATTTTAATCGCCGTTGAATAAGAAATGTTTCTTTCACAAGAAATGTATAAAATTACAGTACTGTATTAGACTTACGGTACCTAATTTACATACTGTACAGACGATAGTTAGCCGAAACTCTCCGTAGCGTGGCGCTACGCGGAGGAAAAAATATATATAATTATAATAAAGTTACAATAAGTTAAGTTAATATATAATTATACAGTACCTAATTCATATATAATTTATGTATAATACTGTACAGACGATAGTAATCTCTTCCTAGCGTGGCGCTGGACAGCGGAAAGTAGTTCGACTGCCAGATGACGTTTTACGTAATTATAAGAGTTTTTACCGTTTTTTACGGATACCGTTGCAATTTTTTCCCCGTCTTATAGGAATCGTAACTATCGGAACCCGTTTTATAGGGGAGTGTACTGTATTAAGAAACCACACTGGACATAAGCTAAAAGATCACGTACATTATGATTTAGTTTCCCCTTATTAAATTGTATTGTAAGTTAATTTTTGTATTTTTTGTCGCATAATAATAAATTTTAAAGGATATTAACTAATACAAACTTTATTATTGATTAGGAAACATTATTTTTCACTTTATGACAGCTGATTCGTACAGCTCTATTCGGTAAAAATTCCGGATTTAACAAAATGAAATTAAATAGTAAAACTGTCAGAAACTAGAAACGTACTGTACATTAATTTACATAATTTAAAATGACACCGGTAATTGTTGAGAGGTGACAAATAATTAAAGTTTTAATAAACAATAAATAAATGTTTGCATTGTTACTGATAATAAATTTAAATGCAAACGTATGTTAAAAAGATAAAATTGATGAGGTGATGTCGATGTTTACGAGATTAATTTTTAAATATTACGTGGCGCCACTGTTATTTTTAAATTTGTAAAGGGCAATTGGTGAGTAAAGTCTTACTACTTTTATTTCAGGAAAGAATTGGATTTTAGTTATAATATGGTATAAACGTCGACCTCGGTCATTTGAGAATTAAGAAATTTTATTGGAAGAAGCGAAAATGATAACAACAACGACATTGAATTCAAGGAACGACAGGAACATTCCACGTGGGTTTTTTTATGTAAAAAATTTGTTTATTTCAATTAACGTACGATTAATAATTACGTTTTTCATCTCGTTTGATAATCTAGTAAATAGATTAATAAATTCACTAAATTTATTGAAATTTACTGAATTTAAATTAAAGTATAATTTACATCTTTCTATAACCTCGTCTTAATTCCATCACTAAACTGATTTATTTTTTGTCTTAATCGTAGGATCAAATGTGCCTTTTCAATCAAAGAAATTTCTCTTGGTATCAACATAATGAAAATCCTCAATGGATGAAATCACTTCATTTTCACTAATCAATCAAAGCGTTAATAATTGAATCTTATTTATTTTCAGATTTTTCAACGCTCGTCTTAAGTATTTCAAAACATCGTTTGTATATTTAAATTTATTCTTGTTTAATAATTTAAAAGTTTTTCAAATATTCTTTTAATTTGAAAGTAAAATTTTAGTGAATTATTTTATAATTATTGTTTAATTTCTACATTTCTTCTGTAATTATTAATTAAGATGTTTTTTTTTGCAGACAATATCTCTTTTAAAGAATTTCCGTGAAAAAGTATAAGAATACAAGAAGGAAGTGAATGTTTACTTCTGAGAAAATGGACTACAAATGAGAACGACTTACCTATCTACAGATTTACTGGAAATTTGTGTCGATAAATTAACGTTGAACATTTTTTTGTCAATGCGCTGCGAATTATTGTTATAAACATTTGTTTTCTATTTTTTGTTTTTTGTAATGCAAACTTGGGGTTTTTCGTCACAAATGTTTTTTAATGTTTGATTAAATTTAGTTTTATTCGTTAAGATATTGTTAAATGTTTACTTCTATATTTCTTGACAGTAATTAATAAACGATTGATTACTTTTGAACATTGAAGTTTAATATTTTGTGTTTCGTAGATTTCGCCAATACGAGAAGCAAGAAATTTGTGTGTGGAAATTGTGGCAAAGAATTCTCTCGGAAGGACTACTTGCAAAGTCATAGGATGATTCACACAGGAGAAAAGCCGTTCAGTTGCCAGTTATGTGGAAAAAGATTCATTCAAAGTTCCCAACTACGAAAGCACTTGAGGATTCATACCGGAGAGAAGCCTTTTACCTGCGACCATTGCCAACGAAGCTTTACACTAAGAGAAAATCTTGTAAAACATCTTCGCATCCACACGGCAGAAAAGCCGTTTAAGTGCGATTATTGTTTTCGAAAGTTCTCTGACAAAAGTAATTTAAATCGTCACATTAAACGCCATAGCAGAAAAAATATTAAATATAGTAAACAGTTTTAAACTTGTAAGGAATTATTTAATTTGGAAAATTACAGTTTATTCATTTTATTGACTTCTTCTTGAAATTTTATTTAAGAAGTTTGATTTTAAACTTAAAATAATAACATACTGTATTAATAATGTTATTGTGATAAAGAATTTTTGGAATTGTAATAGTCTTTTTATTTTATCGAAATTGTAACATTTGTCTTTATGAAAATACAAAATAAAAATATTTTTCGTACTATTTTTATGAAACGATATTTTGAATTTGTTTCGAAATTTAATGTTTTATTCCATTATATGTCAAAGTTAAAAATTAACGTAAAGAAATTTTAAAAAATTTGTATTTAAAAGTAGAATGTTCGAAGCATTTGTTTATATTTTTAAACACACTGTCAATCAATAATTGGATTCAATGTATCAAACGCAGAAAAATTCTCTCTTTTTCGACTTTGCTTATCCATATGTCGATTTTAGCGATAAACGCACTGATTTTATTTTCAAATGCAAATTTATTGCTAGTGCCTTCCAATTCCATATTTCCTGATCGCACACCATACCTCAGCCCAGTTCGCTATCGGCTCTAACCTTGACGTAACGCGTGTTGTCATCAACTCGTCGTCATTTATTTAATAATTTTGGGATAAATTCACGAACCACTTCGGGTGCTTTCAGGGACCACCAGTGGTCAACGGAACACAGGTTAAGAACGACGGTACTAGATAGTTACACGAACATGAAGTAGTGTATAATTGATATACCGTTAAAACACAGATTTAATGCTATTAGATGCGGAATTGTTGAGAGTAAAGGCTATATTACATGATTTCTGTTTGATGAACACTCCAGTTACTAGCACCACCGTAGAGAAATCGGAGTATAAAGCACTCACCATGTGTAAATGAAAACAGCGTGTTTATTATATAGTAGATAAGCTGCTATATATCGACTTACCCGAATCAGAAAATTTTTTCGGACGTAGAAGAAATCACCAACAGAAATTCCCATTTTTGGCTTACCGAATCTTTTCGGGAAGCCAAAAGTAGTAAAAATATAGTAAATTGAATTTTATAATTACATGAGTACATTTCTCTCATACTTTACCTTGTACTTGAATTCAAGTGACAAGTTGTTTGAAGAAAATCTCTGTATTGATATGAAGTTATCGAACAACTGAAAACAGATGATCAAATGATAAAAGTAATTAATATGTTATAAAATTCGAAGTTAATAGGCAACACAACGCAATTTCCGAAGGAAAGTCCATTCTGTAAAAATTAACCGTTATTTAGTAGTTGGATATATGATCTGGACATGACGAACTACAAGCGGTCAGCTCATTGGTAAATTGCGAAATAATCACCAACTACTGCCATACACTAGTTTGATCGATTAAACCAATAGTGAACATTTCGATTAAAAGATTATTATCCGAAATCATTATTACTATAATGTAGTGAACAGTAAAAAAATAACATAGCTAAAATTATATTAATTTGTTAATGAAAATGATGTGTGATCAGATAATTAAATTGAAATCGATTTCACTTCAAAGTATTACTGTAGTACAAAATTTCTATACAATACATAGAGTAAACTATTATAAGTTGACTTTATGTATTGACAAAAACGACTTAATAAATTCTATAATTTGAATTTTTGCATATAGCATGTTATTCAAAATATACAGACTATCATAATATTTTGATTATTGTTCATAAGTGTTATAAAACAATATCAAAAATAATTACCACAGATGTCAAGTAAGAGAGAGACTAAGATACCGAAAGACATCCTATTAAAAACAATATGGAAATACCACCGAAAACCAGACGAAGAACAATGCCGATGTCGAAATCATCGAGGCAAAACACAGAAAGCATGTCTCGTACGTAAAGTGAAGGGAAATCAAAGCGAAAAGATCTTCCCATTGTTTGTTGGCCGTTTGAAACATCTCCCAAATTTCTGTGTGTTTTTCACACATTTCTTGTAATTTATTTTTCAGCGATAAGGAAGTTGTGTTCGATTCTTTTAATGTTTCGGATAACTTTGTAAGTCTTTTCTCGATAATTATTACAACGACAGAAAATAGAAGGGCTGAACCTATTTGTGCTACGAACTGCTGAAAGAGAAACGAAAAGTAAACGGAACAAATTGTAGCTTCGACTTCACTTCCGCCGTATTTTCTTGTTGTTGGAAACACAATTATTGTTACTGCGTTAGAAACAGTCAAAATAACGGAAAACAAGACTACGAAGCAACCTAACAGAGATAATTGCAGTTCAACCGGCAAATTTTCTTCACCTTTATAGACACTTTTCATGTAATGACCAGACATCTTGTTTTTCTTCAAAATTTTAAATTGAATAGCTACGTATATATTCAGAATTAATATCACGACATGCATTTCTTCAGCGTGTTTACCATAGGCGCCAACAAAACTTCGGTAACAGAAATTATCTTTGTTAAATGTCAACAAAACTAAATAAAACGATGAAAACCAGAAGAAAAATTCAATCATATCTACGTAAAAGTCATAGAATGTACTTTTCTTCTTTTCTGTCTTTCCATTGTTTTGTTCGTCGAAGCAGCTACATTTCTTGAACGGTTCAATTCCAAAAGCTTTGAACACAGAAATCAGCACATGGAAATTGTAAGCGTTGCAACGATCCGATTGTGTCCAAATGTAACTCGGATTCGTTGTGTTGCTGAGAATTTCTATTTTTCGAATGTTGTTGATGAATTTTGAAATGTGGTTTTCTATTATTTCTGTTTTCCTTGTAAATCCTTTAAGAATGTCGATGACATTGTAGCGATTAACTCATGCCATTTCATAATAATGTGGTTAGTTTATGTTGATACGTGATATGAATTATTTTTTATTTTTCTGACGTTATTTCAAAACCATGTACATAGGATTTTTATTCAATATACATATATTTCTCAACTTAGACTGTTTTTATTCGGACTTGTTGATCGTTAGAAAACAGAGCACATTATTTGTGTAATGAAAAATAATTCAGTGTACAATTTTTTAATATAATGTATGAACTATGCCATTAAATATAATTTAATATATTATTTATAATACAAATACTGTTTTTAATTTTATTATATGATTAGGGAAAAATTAACCATGGAAAAAAAATGATCCGATTGAAAATTATCTGAGATAGGACACAATACCTAATTCACTTATCAAAATGCTGCCACTAGAAATCATTTGATACTTAACCAGACAATTTAATCAATTCTATAATTACAGCATAATACCGGCCAAATAGAACAAAATCATTTTTACTATGATATTTAAAGAAGAAAACAAACAAATTACAGACCAATAGCTATTTTACCTTGTCTACGGAAAGTATTCACTGCAATATTAGCTAGTAAATTTAATCATTGGACAGCTGTGAATAATTATAGAAATGATACGCAATTCGCGTTTATAGAAGGGGTGGTACTCAGAAAGTCCTCTCTGTGTTGCTGTCAATAATTCAAATACAGTTGATTAAGAAAGACATTAAGTGTTCGCTTTCTTTTTGGATCTCGAAAAAGCATATGATATGATTAGCATTACAGATCTACAGAGTAAAATAAAAAGATGTGAGGCAAATGAACCTTTGATAAAAATCATACCGTTGCTGTTCTGAAAATATAAGACAATCATTAAACAAGACACAAATATCTGGACACCGTTCATTACCTACAGAGGACTATTACAAGAAAAAATAAAAAAGTTAGGAACACACTTTCAACTTTCTAATTCGCTTGTAATGAATTCAATGGGTTATGCGGCCCCAGTTTCGAGTATGAATAAATTTAATAACTTTAAAAAAATACAGAATATATTTATACGTAAGATATACCAGCTAGAATTTAATATTCCGGGTAGCGCTTTAAGATTAGAAACAAATAGATTTAGATTAAATGCTATATTAATACAAAGATATTTAATGTTTTTACGAAAAATTATTAAGAAAGAAGATATAACAACAAAACTGCTGTTTTTACTATACCACAAATCAAGGAAAACGGACTTAAGACGAAGTTGGATAATTCAGTTATCGAAGATAGTAACGAAATATAAATTTATCGTAAATATTATGTGGAGCAGTATAGTAAAGAAATAATATACAGAGTAATAAAGCATTCCATTGTTCAAGACATTATAGATCAGGGGTGGCCAACCTTTTGCATACCATGCGCCAATTTTTTGATAGACGAGTTTACAGGCGCAGTGGCGTACCGTGAGTGTTAGCAGCCCGGGGCGGAGAAAAATTTCGGCCACCCCTTATTTAGGTATTTCAATTTATAAGACGAAAATTCAGATTTGCCACAGAACAAGCAATGAAAAATGCGGTTCTACAACCGCATTTTTCATTGCTTGTTCTTGTAGCTACCCGTATAAAATAGTTCTATATGACATCAGTGGTGTACATGAACACGAATGCATCGTGTAACGTACAAGATAAAAAAAAATAAAATGTAAAAAAAAGTCAACAGGTCGATTGCACCGAATTGTGTAGGAAATACACTTGCCAAAACTTGCCACACTGTAAAAAATTAATTTCCTATGTAATATTCATAATTGCAATGAAGCCAAATCTGGCAATGTTGCTCGGAACCGACTGAAGCGCCACTTGTAGTCGTCCAATGCGCCAAGTTTGGCGCATGCGCCACGTTTTGGCCAACCCTGTTATAGATATACGGAAACACAAGCTGGTATACAACAATTCTAAAGTATTCAGTAAATAACAACTATATATATACAAATATAGTTTTTAACATCAAAAAGTTTTTTATACAGATTAAATTTAATAAAAATGGAATAATTATAAATAATAAATATATAGACTACACCCGATCTAAATGTCCAAATTGCACCAAAACTTTATCTAAAATTCATATTATATGTAAATACTGTAATGAAAAAAATAAACTACAAAGGCTTCAGATTGAGCCGCTGGCTAACTGTACTAGTGAGATGGAAATGCATAAGAC